AACTGACCGGATGCAGTTTGCACCTTGCTGAAACCGCAGCAGGAGGAAGCGGGCGTTTCACGATTGTGCTTTATTTAGGTCAAGCATCGGGAGCGCGCATCGTGTACGAGTGTATTCTGCGCGCTCGACAAATACGGATTCCGAACGCGAAAGCTTCTCTCGCACGACTGACGCGTGTATCGGCGACGTACTCGATCGGATCGATCGATCGTGATAGGTAAATCGGCAGAGCCGGATAAAGGTCTTACGGGCTCCTGGAAATGATCCAATATGCCTTAGAAATACACTGCTAAATGCGAGATCAAATTTTCGAGACGACGAAAAAACACATTTATTCTGAGAAAAAAAGAAGGTCGGGCAGAGCTTGCTTTTCCACTTGCAAATTGCTGTTTCTTTTATACAAAGATGTTCAATGGTTGAGTTTGTGTCGGTGTTTTACTAATTTTCTATAAGACGGATCTTTGAGTGCTTTGTACACAAAAAAATATTATTTTCTTCTAAGATATTAATATTTTTATAAATTTCTCCTTTTTTTGAATATAACTATTGGAAGAACCTTGAGGTTTTTCAATACTTAATTTAAAATTTCAGTACTTAATTTAAATTTAAAAGAATTATTTTCCTATTATCTCCCAGGTATTAACTCTTATTAGAAAGCCATGCAATTTAATTACAAGTTAATTACTCTTTTATATATTTAAATTTTTAATTCTGCAAGTAGAAAAAAGTCGTTTTTTTCTGATATATTATATAACTTTTCTTTAGAATTCACGTTTATTTATCATAGCTACAAAACATTATATTAACCCGAATTTAAAACGCGCCAGTCCTGAAACGCACGAGAGGAGCAAAGACAAAATCGATTTCTCGAGACGACACCCTTCGCGAACGCTTCTTGAACGACGCTTCAAGTCGTCCAACTTATCCTAGTTTACATTTTACTCCCATCGTCTATCGACATCTTTTATTCATCTGGGCACCCGTGTCGCAAAATCGCGTGACAAACTTCTTTAATAAAGTTTCAAATGAGAGCGTTACGCAGGCTATTGTCTCCTGCTTCCTCTTCCTCTCTCGCGAAGTTACGTATTAAGTTATTATCAAAAAGATAATTCCATGTACATCAAAATCTGAAGATATATTGGCGATATACATGTAATTTTGTAAACTTAGTGTGGACAAAATCGTTTGTCAGATTCAGTTAGTCGGAAAAATCAACTCTTTTTTTTTCATCGAAATGGGTGATAATGCGTGATATCGATAAAAATTTTAAAATCATCCAGATATCAAGAAATATTTCAGGAATATTTCGACGACCTCTCATCGACGCTTTCGTCGAACGATTTCAAGAGAAAACGAGTGATAATTACGGCTGGTTAGAGAAATATCGTTATTTACCCAGGTCCCGACATTACTAATCCCTTTGCGTTTATTTAAAATAGAACCGAGGTCGTAACGAGTACGCGAGCGAATTTCAGGGAGTTTCAGGAACTCTTCGTTGAAGGGCTTGGCGAGCCTCGGAGATGATTCCCGTCTGACGAGGTCGGCTTTCATCCGCGGTTAACCGACGTTAAAGCGTTTCGCGTATGCTCGTGCTATCGATCGATTCATAGGCGCCGCTTTCGCTATGTCCCGCTAGACGATGTCATCGACAACAAAATAAAATTGGAGGATTGGGAAGTATAGTAGATGAACAAAATTTACCTACCATGTAGTAGAAACGCGAACACGAGGTGAAGTTAAAAAGATACATCCCTTTGGCGTATTGAAAATTATAATAAAATAAATGTAGTAGTAATGTTGATTATACGAAGACAAAATTTAAATGAATCGAATGATGAAATAGATGTACATACTTTTTGGAACAAATCTGTATTAATTAGATATGAAAATGTTAAAGCATTTTTAGCGCATTGCGCATTTTCACAATTAAAAATTTTGAGAGATGAGTGGAGGCATAAAGTATATATAGAACGAGCGAGCTTAAAGGTGAAGAAATAGGAGGGACAAGAGAATCGCGGAGAGAAGGCGGAGAATGCAAGAACGCAAGATATACGGCACGAAGTGCCGTAGACTAAAAAATAAACGTCGGAAGGTTTTAAAGTCGAAATCCGGATTCGCAGCGAGAAACCAGGAAGGAAGAGCTCCGCCAGCAGAGAGGAAAGAGAAAGCGCGAGCGTAGGGACGAAGACAGAGGGAATGTCTCGGTACCGTTAACCACTCGGAGGGGGTTAACCGTGGTCCTCGGGTACCATCCGTTGCATAAAAGCCGTAAAGCACGCTGCCCGGTTATTTCGGTCAATCCTCGAGGAGGAGGAGGAGGCCGCCCGGAAAATATTCACATCGATCTACCCGCCTGACCCCCCCCCCCTC